AAGTCCCCCTGACGCTCCGACCAAGTTGGAAAAACAGGGACGAACCAAAAGTATAAAGTTAACGGAGATTTCAACGAAACAGAAGATCACACTATCTTGGTTTTCATATAAACGATACTATTATACTGATTTTAATTATATTCATTTTACCTTATTTTCTTCGTTTCATGTATTTACTCGATTCTGCACACTTTTCATAGTTCATAAGTAGAACGGTTTTTGAATCTTTCTATCAACTCTTATAGTTTCCAAACGAATTTTAGTTGTATTGTATACTGGCATCATAACTCCTGACTATAAGGAAAAGATGGTGTGACCTTGTGTTGTAGCGCAGTCTCCTTTCACTTTATCCTATCAGTTCGATCTTGTTTTCCCAACTTGGTCAACATGTCAGAGAGAACTTGTTGAACGTACCTAATCGCGTGTCCTCTGTCATAGAATTCGTGATTTAAAGTTTTGGACGATTGACATGGTACATTCTTACACATTTCGCCGACATCGTCAATAAGAAGCGTCATCGATAGCACAAAGTTGCGGCTTATGAAAGTGACCAATTTTCAGAAAATTGCTCCCAGGATTAGGTACTTTCCACAAAGTCCCCCTGACGCTCCGACCAAGTTGGAAAAACAGGGACGAACCAAAAGTATAAAGTTAACGGAGATTCCAACGAAACAGAAGATCACACTATCTTGTTTTTCATATGAACGATACTATTATACAGATTTTAATTATATTCATTTTACCTTATTTTCTTCGTTTCATGTAGTTACTCGATTTTACACACTTTTCCTAGTTCATGAGTAGAACGGTTTTTGAATCTTTCTATCAACTCTTTTAGTTTCCAAGCGGATTTCACTTGTTTTGTATACTGGCATCATGAATCCTAGCTATGAGGACCAAGATGATTTGACATTTTGGTGTATCGCAGTCTCCTTTAGCTTTATAGTGTCGGTTCGATCTTGTTTTCGCAACTTGGTCACAGCGTCAGAGAGACCTTGTGGAACGTACCTAATCGCGTCTCCTCTGCCATAGAATTCGTACATTCGTACTTGGTACATTTGCAAATTTTGCACCTGTATCGTCATCAGCACATAGTTACAACTTCTCAAAGTGACGGAAGGAGAGCAAGAGGTACAGAGAAAAAAAGATGGATATTGCTACTTTCCTGCGAATTGGCTCGGAAGCTACGACCAACATCAGGTAAATGGAACATTCATACAATCCTTAAGGAATGCACAACCCTCATCACCAGTTTGCCCACACAACATGAATAAGTCAACAAAATAGATTGCTCTGGAGTTTGCAGCATAAACTGCAAAAACTGTGAATAAAAATACATCGAAGAGACGGGAGAAGTATCAAAGAACACCAGCAACTATGCAGAAAAATGGATACAGAAAGGTCGGAGGCAGCTGAACACATCGCCCTTACTGGCCATACAATTGACTGTATGGCAACAACATCAGAAAATGGAAGATCAGGGAGGTTGTGAGCATCTTCTTTCAAAGAAACCTGATGAACAAGAGGTTGAAAGAGGGAAGAATGAATGATAATTTCGCGTACAGGCTGGGCAGTCTTGGAAGTTCAACGAAGAGATCAAGAAGAGGAGTCAAACCTGGAATCGGGCAAAAGTGTAGCCGAAGGGGATGTGGAATAGGAAATTAAAGTCAAAAGGTATATGTACGCCAGATATAGGTCACTTGTGTGTGTGTACGTGTGGGTTAGTGTGCCTGAAGGGGAGGTGATTGGGGACGGGTGACTTGTTTGACCAAGAGGGATACCAACCAACACACATACACATGAACATCATCCTCGTATTCCAGGCTTAGACGGAGTGTCAACTGGAAGAACGAGAGGAGTGTGTTTTTCACGATTCAGGATGGGAAAAAAAGCAAGAGGTGCATTTTCACCCAAGAATTTATGACTTAAGTCCGACACAGGACCCCAAAGAATGAGACAAAATGTGAGTGGGGATGATAAAGAGTCATGGGTTGTAAGCCTAGGAAGAGAAAGATTCACATGGACATGGGTTTCATCTGCTCCAAATTCTCGAGCTTTTAGGAAGCCAGATTTCATACAGTCAGACTATGATTTTAATGTTTAGCAGAGACCAATTGACAAGCGAGGAAGGAGGTCTTAAACACGGCACCTGATACCGGTGGTGGAGATGATTATGCTCACCTAAACCCACATGTGGCGACGTATTCTTAGACAAATGTGTTGCGAACGAAAGCTCAGAATTGTGTGAATATGTGAAGTGTGGTTGAGAGAAAGAGATGTCTTCACTTGTCACTTTGATGAGTTGCAACTCTGTGCTGATGATGGCACCTCTCACTGACGATGCCGGTGAAATCTTTGACCATGTACCAGGTCAATGGTCGGAATCTTGAAATCACGAATACTATGGCAGATGTTACAGGACTAGGTACCTTTCACAAGGTCTGTCTGACTCTGTGACGAAGTTGTGAAAACAACTTCGAACCCACACTATAATGTTAATCTTAGAGGGGATATAAACTTTTACGATAAATATATGAAGACCAAGATGATGTGGCCTCTGGTATAGTCGCAGTCTCCTTTCGATGTATAGAAGTGGTTTGACCTCGTTGTCTCAACTTGGTCTTGTTGTCAGGGCGACTTAATAGAACGACCCTAGACGGAAGTCGTCTGCCATAGTAGTTGTCAGCATCAGACGTTTGAGAATGTACCAAGTCCACTGTCTGATGCTGGGAATTATGATAACTACTATGACAGATAACTTCAGACTAACTGCGTTCTACTAAGTTGCCCTGACAACAAGACCAAGTTGCGACAACGAGGTCATCCGATTTCTTTAAAAATGAAGCCGCCGCAATACTAAAAAAAACCCATTTATTATCAGCATTTTGGACATAGCCTACATTTCAGAGCTCATAATTGTCTTTTACTATATTTTTAAAAATTAATAACACAAACTGATGATTAATAGGGAGACTATGGCAGATAAAAGTAAACATTAAGCTATTATTGAATGCATACTTTTAGTCTATGCTAAAATATTTAATAAGACAAAAATATTACTCTTTTTTTTAATTCTTGTGCCCTATCATTATTAGCTGAATTTCAGTCGTGCTATGGACCTAAAGTTTTTTTTATCCGATTTCCCCATTTGTTGCGAAAAATTCTTACTCTTTCATCGTTACCATTAATAAAGCTTCATTCTGTTCAACTATAACTGGTGCACGGGTTCAGGTTTGATGTAGAGCCAGATTTTTCTGTATGCACAGAATCAAAGTTGTGCCAACTAGGCGTCAGGTTGCTCGATTTATGACAAATGTACCAACGGCATGGTTATGGTGGGAAAGTAACTCTGAAATAACACTTCCTCATAACTGAAGAGAGTAAAAGAGACAGGATCGTGTTTGCTAATGGCTGGCCATATGTAATATTCGCCTTATTCCAACAAAAAATCAGAATATTTATTCTTAGGTCAAAATCTCGCTTGACAGACAATATTTCCCAATCAGTTATCGGGACAATCATCACATCAGAAATGTATTTTTTTGGACACGATCCAAGAGAATATGCTGTATTCTGTATGATTTCACCATACAGAATTAATTAATGGAGAAAAGGTTTCTTTGTGCCGAAATACAAAGTTAATTTTTTCTTATTAATCAATGTATATTGTCCATACTTTTTGTTTAGACATTCTGTTTACACAAGTGACGCCGTGCATTTATTTGAAAAAATACCATCATCATGTTAGATAAATGCAAAGAATAGCTAACGTTTTCACTGTCTCATCCGCTTCTCTGGCACGATCTGTGAGGATTTTCGCGTCACCCTCTAGCGGTATTGAACTGGTGCGACGGCGAAGCTCGTCAAGGGCGATCGCTCCCTCGCCATTCAAGACATCTACAATGCCGTCAAACTGCCTCTCGATAATCAGTAGTTTGGCCAGGAGGCGATCATCCAAACAAGAAGACTTCAGGATGTAATAAAATACAATATTATAAAAATGCGGAGATGACATGACTTTGCATTGATTACATCATTCTGCATATGCAAGTACTTTGATACAAATAAGCTGATTTTTATAATAATATTTAGGCATTGCCAAATTGACTGGAATTGATAATGGGGCAATTTTAAGAAAAGACATATCTAACCTCAAGGTCGTGAGTACGTTAGTAGCTTTTTAATAATTATCAATAATAACCCATTTTTAGTTTGGCTAGGGGAATAGGGATATGCATTAAATGCCCATGATGAATCACTTCAAGAATTTAAGGCTATTTGACACATTTAAATCAATTAAAGATAGAATGTACTAAAAGCCAAAATATATATGTATATGTTACCGTAGTAGTCCACATTTTGAAAGCAAAATAGCATAATTATTGAAAGCACTATGGATAG